GAAGTGCTTGTGGTCCACCAAGTGGATTGGATAGCATGTTACCAATGCCAATAAAGTAAACGGAAGGCTTGTGGGGGTTAAGACCATGGAAATAAGGTGTAAGGAACCCCAATGTGAGGACTGGTCAGTTTTGCCATTTCCCTAGGCTTAAATGGGGACATGAAGAGACAGAGAGGAATTCTAATGCCAAAGACAGCGAGAGAAGACAGCACAATGATAACGAGAACAGGAGTGGCACAACTCAGCAGGAACCAGGAGACTGGCACGAGCTAGCTGCAGTGGGGCCTGTCAGCCCACAGAGGTAAGAGTTGTAACACTTGCCTGAGAAGACCCTGAGCAGGGCCCAACAGCAAAAGGAGAGAAGCTGTCCTGATTAAGAACTGTAGGCTGAGTTGTTCCTATTACTTCTAAGTTGATCCTGATCCTGAGTTGTAGCCTGTTACTTCCCTGATTAATTCTGTAATCCTAAGTGCTGTCTGTGAGTTCTGTGTGGCCACTGTAACAAATTACCAAACCCAGCAGAAGAGCAGAGAGTGCCTGGGAGGGACGGTTGGTGTCAGAGTTGGTCAAAAGGTTGGAGAGAGGAGGCATGTCTGACCTCCACCTCATAGGAATCAGCCGTAGGCTGTTGATCTTAACTCTCCATCCCCCTTGTAAAGTTCAAGGAGGTGAGATCCTTAGCTCACCACGCCATTTTTACAACAGGCTACAACTCAGGATCAAGAAGACTGTGGGCAAAGTCTCCCTTCTTCAGCAGGCTAGCTCTCCAGCTTCCCTCGCAGGACACACTCTTCTTGGCCCAGCCATCTGTTGCCACCAGTTCTGCCAATGGACCCCTTCTGTACCTTTCACCGTCTTCACTGTTACTGCTCCTGACCAGTGTAACACATCTTCTAGGAGGTTCCCTGCCTCTTCTCTCTCTCTGCTGTTTCTTCTTGCTTTTTTCTGTCTGCTCCATCTCTGTGGGGCTGTCTGCTTAGAAACCTTATCAAAAATCCTTGTCAATTTCAAGGCATGGCCCCCTCCCAGAGGGAGCCACAAACCGGCCAATCCCTTTTCGGCAGATTCGTGGCCACAGAAAGCTAGACCGCAGGCTCCTGAGCGCCCTCAGGACAGGCCTCTCTTCTCATTTGCATAGTCTTTTGACCAATCCCTGCAGGGTGCATACCAATCACAGAGCAGACCACAGCTCTGGACCAGAGAAAAAAAGTATCAAAACCGAGTTGTTTCCAGACCCAAGGAATGTCAATCAACCTGGCAAAGTAACAACGCTCTGCCCAGAAAACTAGGGCAAAGGTAACTCCTCGGCACTCAGGGGAAAATACCTCAAACTGTTTTTCCAAAGAACCGAAGCAAAAGGCCACAGAGAGGAACCCATTTTACCACGCTCGGATAAAAGTCCCGGGAAAT